TTTTTTTTATTTGTATTATTGAGGTAATTAGTTGAAGATTATGGGCATTTTTTGACATAAAAAGTTAAATAGATGAGGTTAGTGTGCCTGTACTATGCAGGTATCTTATATTTATAAAATTTTAATATATTTTCTTTTTTTGTTCGTGTTTTTAACATGTCATGGGTTTCTAAAGGAACGTTTGAACTTTAGAACTAATAGTGAAATGGACTTCGCCCAGTCTTGATTCAGACAAACACAACAAGGATTTGTATCTTCGAACTCGAATGACCTCCAAACCTACAAGAACCCAACACCAGAAATGTGATTTTCCGAAGAAGAGACTGCGATGCCTATGTAAGTATATGGATGAAGATGATGAACAATAACAAAATATATAAGAGCGTAAATAGAGAATGTAAAAATGTAACTAACCTACCACACTCCCTTATATAGTGGGGTGTGGTGTCTTGCTCTTCAAGTCTGCCCGGAGAGTTGAACTTGATGCCCGTCCATACGATGCATAGTGTCGTAGGCGGTAAGACTTTGTTCGGTGTGCAGACAACTCAATCTCGTTGCGACATGTGGTCTATTCCCCATATGTCTCTATCCCCGAGTTAGATGCCTTTTTGTCTTGTTCATGGAACCATGTCCACGTCACCAGGCAGACATGCATTAGGTAGAACATCTTATTCTCTAACTCCCCCATTGCTCTTGATGTTGAAACAGGCCCCTAGGTCAAGCTCGGTCTCTTAAGTCGACCTCCATGCCAGTTCGTCTCATGGAGTAAGCTGGTCCTTAATTTATGGTTACCGTCTGTCTGGTCCTTGCCTTCGGGTCGATCTCTGATCGGGGCTCAAGCTATAATGTTAATCCGGTCTAGCTATTTGGTTTCATCGATCCGGTTTAACCGATGTGGTATTCTGTATGAAGTACATATACCGGATTTTTTAATATTGATTATTGAAATAAAAAACACATATTTGTATGTGTATGTATTAATTCAATAGTATAAAATGATATGATTGCAACTAGAGTTGAACTTAACCGTATTCAAGAAGTTAATTTTTTTTTTATTTGTGTCACCCTTAGGAATGTAGCAATCAGATACCTAAAAAGTAGCTTTGTGTAACAGAATTAGGTGGCTAAATAACTGTACACACTTAGATGGATTATGGCCATATATATATATTGGGAGATACTACGCTCCCGTTACGGTACCATCCCGTCGGTTGTTTTAACCGTTAGATCTACGTGTAGTTAGATAAGATCGATGATCTGAAGGTTAAAATACCCGACGGGATGGTACCGTAACGGGATGGTAGCATTTCCCATATATATTAATATATACACGCACCTAATGGGCTATCAACTTATTAAATGTGATGCGTTGAATCGAACTAACGGTTAGACAGTTGTCTCATCATTCTTTCTTAATGAAAACACTCGACATGAATTTAGATATAAAGCAATCTTACTGATATATATTATACTCTCCATGCATATCAATAGTCAAATGAAGAAATATGCATATTTCTGTTTAATTTAGTTCAGATCAATTAACATTGCAGTTCCTCATCAGATTAATCACTAATTATTGGACATTGCATGTTTGCGTTATAGCTAGGTAAGGGAGAATTAGTTAATTAGTTTAGTTAGGGGTCGTTTACTTTCCTAGACGGGATTGGATAACTAAATTTGTCACACCATATCATTTGTTTACTTTAAATTATTGGGATATAGGATCCATTTTAGTTGGCACCCATGTGGCATGCGGGTCCCACAGTGTATCCTTCATTCACTGATAAAATGGGGTCGGATATTTTTATCCCGTTTTTCACAATGCCCATTTTTATTATGTTTTTAGCCCGTAAAGTAAACGTCGGACAACTTGTTGATGTGTAAAGTAGTTGAATCATTTTGTTTAATTCCATCAAACAAAGTAAATGAGGCCTTCATATGCAAGTTAACTAACCTAAAATTAGTGCCCTTCGATTATTATAATAATCACTATTCATAAATTTTAACCGTACTCTTTAATTTGTATTGGAAATTAAACATATAATATAATTTATAAATTAAAACTTGAATTCGCGTGCTACCATTAATACGATATCAATAAGTCGGTGTCACATGGGCTGTTTCATTTCATATCACAATCTAATTAACTCTTCAAAAAAATTCGTAATCACATTAAAATTTTGTACTCTCTTTATACTTTTTATTGATAAATTCTTTTAACCATTTGTAATTTATAATTGTCTCTAGATTCATCATGCAGGGTGTTATTGCCTGCCCAAAGTATTGCCTATCTTGACTGAAATCAGAATTTCAGTCCAAATTCCACAACACAAAATGGCATGCACAATATTCTTATTGTGTATGAAAACTATAAAATCATCAATTTTAGCTAGAGTTGTTAAATGAAATTAACGAGTTGTTCATTTTTTATTTATTTTTTTTGCTCAGCTCAGTTCGTTTGATAAATGTGTTAAACTCAAATTCATTTGAAGCTCGATTAGTGAACGAGTTCTGCTCGGTTCGTTGAGGCTCGAGTTCGCCTCGTAATATTAATAATAATTGAACTGAGATCGATCTCGCTCCACTAAAGATTCAGTTCAAGCTCGAGAGCTCATGTATCACAACCTCGGGATCTCGAGCTTGTGATAATGGGTTCCCACAGGTGATTTTTTTGTATCACCAACCTTACCAAACAACTAAAAGGTTAGCCCCAATTACCTCTTTCTCATCGTCCGATTTGTCACTTTGTGATGGTTGGAAAAGGATTTGACCCTTTTTCCTTTTCACGCGTGGAAATGAGTCAGCACAGAGATTATTAAAGTGTTAACTTAACCAGCTTTGTAAATACCGAAAAAGATTGTCTTAATGTGATTGGCTATCATCTAGCTTGGATATATAATGGAAAGTTTTTTTACAAAAAAATAAAAATAAAAAAATAATTCCCAAAAAGAATAACTTGACTTTGATTTATACTATGAATTTGATTTGATTTTGATTTTTTTTTTTAAAAGAGTTATATGTTCAATTGTTAGTGAGTTTTGATTTTACATTAAAACAATATTTAAAATAAAATAATGAGAATTGATTTGATGTAAAAGTATGAGAGAGATGATGTGAAATGATAATCAGTTAAAATTACGTTGAGTATATAAATAGTGAACTAAAATTGTTGTGATATTTAAGAATTATTGATTGATATTATTTAATTATAATGATAATATTGAAGCACTAAGACAATGTAGTTGAATTAAAGTCGAGTTAAATTCAAATTTTGATTTTTTTTTAATGAATTGGGTAAAATTTGAAGTGGTGATCCGATGGCTCGATGGAGGCACTGCCCTCATATGTAACCACAAAATTTTCCAACAAATCCGAGTTTATTAAGAAAATCCCTATTTTTATTGAGTAAATATATTCCCCTGCCCACGGTGGGTAGTGCCCACTAGTTTGTTTTATATGAAAACGTATTATGAGAATACGTTTTTCAGTTAAATTTAATTGAAAAACGTATTCTCAGAACGTTTTTCATATAAAACAAACTAGTGAGCACTGCCCACCGTGGGCAGGTGAGCGGGATTGTTTTATTGAGTTGACCCCATTCGCTAACGAAGTTTTATTGAATTTATTATAATGTTTAGTTAAGATTTGATTAGAGATTCTTGTGGGGAAGGGAATTTAATTAAGGTGGCATCTTTCTTTAAAAGAAAAGCTGGTTAAGCAGCACTTTATTAGGAACATATAGCTTTAGATCTGTCTTGTTCTAAAAAAAGCAAAATTATAGCTTAACCGCCCTTCTTTTTTTACTTATTTATTTACTTTTATTTTTTTTTGTGGTTGTGTGTTC